CTGTCTAGGCTGGCTTCAAACCAAACCCCAATCTTCAGATCTCTGCCTCCTGAGTAGCTGGGATTACAAGAGTGAACTGCTGGCTCAAGACTGACTCTTGAAGAATCCAAGTGGCTAATTTGGCAGGACATTGTTCACCTGCATGTGTTGGAGTGCCCATATGCCTGGATTCAGGGCATGTATTTTTGCTAGGGGACTGGAGGGGTAGTGCCCCTCATTTCTGAACTTGCTCTTGGTCCCAGAGGCAGAGAAGTAATGGTGCTCTTAACTCTAGTACACAAATAGGCTCAGAATGTCAGGTGGACTTACCTCCAGAGATGCTAAGTTTGAACTTTGGTGAAGGTTGAAATAATGCTAACTTTTGCTAAGAATCAAAGAGATCAAAGGTGCTTACCTGGGGCTTTTCTATGTTTCTTGGTAGTAGAAGTGGTTTGAAGTCATCAGTGGAGTTCCATTTCACTGTCTGTAGCCTCTGACCAGCTGCCCTTCCTTTTTTCTGAGATCCAGGTGGGGACTTGCTTTCTCCTGGAACTCTCTATCTAGTTGTAGATCTGTCTTTATTCACTTCATCTTTACACATTGCCGTTGTTGCGGGGAGGGACACCCTGCTTCTGAAAGTACCCCCTACACCACCTGCAAACACCTGTCATCCCTGCCACTGTTTTCAAAGCTTTGAGGAAATTCTCAGCTAGGTGGTAATATATGTATAACACTTGCTAGTATTTCCTTTAGTGAAGTGGTTCTAGTCCCGTCCCAGTAGCTGCTGCTGTAGTAACAGTTTACAGAGGTGAGCGGGAAGCCATCCTCTGTACACAGGGGAACAATGGCATTTTCCAATGAGAGTTGGTAACCATCTGTTGATCCTAGATCCTTTGCTGTGCCATAACTCTGAGGACATTTTCTGTAGTTACATGATTGTTTGTTTCTTGACCTAAATGGTTGCTGTTTTGAGGTGTGTGTGTGTATGTGTGTTGTGTGTGTATGTATGCATTGCTGGGATTGAACGCATGGTAATGAACTTGCTAGATGGGCACTCTACCACTTGAGCCACTCCTCTACTTCTTGCTTTTTGCAGGTTAACCAGAAATGAGTATCTCACATTTTTCTGCCTGGGCTGGCTTTTAACTTTGATGCTCAGATCTCAGCCACTTATTTTGTTGTTGTTGTTTGCAAAGCCTGGGCATTGTCGCTAAGCCTTTTTATGCTCAAAGCCAGCACTCTACAACTTGAGGCACAGTGCCACTTCTGGCTTTTTTCTTTTTGTTTATATGGTGCTGAGGAATCGAACCCAGGGCCTCAGGCATGCAAGGCAAGCACTCTACCACTGAGCCACCTTCCCAGCCATCAGCCACTTATGTAGCTAGCATTACAGGTGTGAGCCACAGTACCTGTTTCCTCTCTTTTTTTATTAGTAAATAGTGTAAAAAGGGATTTTATTGTGTTATTTCCATACATACATAACAAACTTTGACTAAATTTATCCCCTCTACTAGTTTTTCTTCTCCTTCTCCCTTTTAAAATAATTTTAACAGGTTTTATCATTCTAATTTTATACATGCACACGAAGTATTAGGATATTGTTAACTATTCACAGTTCACAAAGCATTTTACATAGCTTATAATACCAGACTCCTACAAAACTCGGTGTCTACTTGTTATTCTTGATTTATGGAAGGATTATATGAGGCTTGAGGATTTTACATAAATCACTCAAAGGAAACAAACTAGAATTGAAACTCTGAAATTCCATAATCTTCCCTGGACACTCTACTCCTGGATGTGTGGTAAACTTTCTGAGCTGGTTGGCTTAGTTTAGGAGGAAGGAGGTAATATATTTAAAATCCACAAAGTTCCTGGTGACCTAGAAATTCAAATGACACTTTTGGGTGTGACTCCATCTTGATCTAACATTCCAATCAGAAGAGTTATGTTCTCCTGAAGACATTTCCTATGTCAGCATAGAGAGTGGCTGTTCTAGCAAGATCAGAATTACAGCAGCATGTGCCAGCTCAAGCCTGATAGAGAGCAAGCGAGGGAGATACCAGTGAAATGTGAGTGTGAGCTAAGCAAGGCTTAGTGCGTCAGATGTTCAAATGGTGTCTGGCACTTGTTAAATCTGGCTAGTTTATCTCAAAGTGGGCAGTGGATCCCAGGGTTTCAGGGGCGTGGGTGTATGCTGGGTGGACACTGGGGACAGGAGTCCATATGGTTTTGCATTTGCCATCTGTGCCCTGGACTGGCCCTGAGGTAATAATTCCTGCACAGGTGCAGAAGATGAAGGAGGGCCTGGGGTGGGGCAGAATTCCAGTGTCAAGTCAGGACTGATGATACTGAATTGGAAATGGTCTCTGAGCTAAGGAGCACTGATCTGGCCTGAGTTGAAGGCTGTGGTTGGTTTACCTGGTTTTGCTTAGCTTTATTTTTTTTCCCTCCAAGACTGGAGGATGAACTCAAGGCCTTGTGCTTGCTATGTAAGTGCTATACCACTTGACATGATTCTAGTCCTTCACTTTTAGTTACGTTTCTTCAGAAAGAGTCTCATCCATATGCCTAGGGCCAGTCTCCTCTGGCCATTCTCCTATCTCCACTTCTCCTGGAGCACTTAAACCATTCTGTTAGTCTGTTTTCACAGGCAAGAATTCAGATCTGGCCAGGAAGTTAAAATCACCTTGTCAGGATGGGCAAACTCACTTTGAGGGGGGGCAAGAAGAAAAGGCTGCAAGTGTCCGCAGAAAGGTCTGTGAGTGGGACAGGATTAGGTACGGAGGCGTGTGAGTATGGGGCTGCTGGCAGGGAGGACACTGCGGAGCTGACCGTGGTCCTCACTGAGAGGAGGGTATCAAGGAGGCCTGGGCAGATGGAATGCTGGGCCAGGCACTCTCTCCTACTCTTAGGAGTCCAGAGCTTCAATTGGATGACATTAGGCCACAACCTTTGTTAACATGCGGATAGTCAGTTCAGTAGTACCTACAAGGAGAGAAATTGCAGTTTTTGATTCTGGAATTCAGGCAGAGAGATTTCTTTTTCAGTACTGGAGACTGGGCCCAGGACTTCATGCATGCTATCTAAGCTTTCTACCACTTGAACCATACCGCCAACCCTTATTTTATTTTTGAGTTACGGTCTTGCTAACAGTGCCTGGGCAGGCCTTGAAGTCTTGATTCTCCTACCTCTGCTTTCTCAGTAGCTGGGGTTATAGGCCTGAAGTACCATGCCTGACTTTAAACTGGATCCTTGAAGAGGCCAGTTTATCTCTGGGTCTCTGTTCCCTGTAAAAATGTGATAGTGGGGGGAATAACGTTTCCCTTATGATTCCTCTCAGCTTAGAGGAGCTGTGAATATGCTTTTGTTGTTGTTGTTGTTGATGATGATGATTGGGGGGCCTGAATTCATGGCCTGAGCTCTGTCCCTGAGCCTCTTTGTGCTCAAGGCTAGCACTCTACCAGTTGAGCCACAGAGCCACTTTCAGTTTTTGAGTGGTTTATTTGAGATAAGAGTCTCATGGGGCCTTTCCTTCCTGGGCTGGCTTTGAACCCAGTTCCTCAGATCTCAGCCTCCTGAGTAGCTGGGATTATAGGTATGAGCCACCAGCGCCCAGCTTTGTATATAATTTTAATTTTTAGGGCTATTGTCCTGTGAACACTTGCCAAGGAAAAGGGTCAATAACCATACCATAGCCATAATCTTTTTTTACATTGCTTTCTCATATGCCCCCCCCCCTTCAGGTTTTTTTACCCTGGCCAAGGAAAACATCAAAATGTGCTTTTCAAAGATGGGTGCTAGTGGCTCATACCTGTAATACTAGCTATTCAGGAGGCTGAGTTCTGAGGATCGTGGTTGGAAGCCAACCAAAGTCTGTGAGACTCTTATTTCCGATTAAGTACTCAGAAAAGACTGGAAGTGGTGCTGTGGTTCAGTTGGTAGAGCACTAGCATTGAGCACAAAGAGGCTCAGGGACAGTGTCCAGGTTCTGAATTCAAGTACCAGGAACAGCCAAAAAAAATTGTTTCCACTTTTAAGCTGAACACTGGTGACTCATGCCTGTAATCCTATGTAGGAGGCTGAGATCTAAAGGTTACTGTTCAAAGCCAGTCTGTGAAGAAAAGCTCTTGAGACTCTTACCTCCAATTCATTAGCAAAAAGCTAGAAGTGGTAGACCTCAAGCCTTGAGTAAAAAGGCAAGTGAGGTCTTGAGTTCTAGCCCTAGTACTGGCACAAACCATATGCATACATACATACACGCATACATGTATGTGTGCATACATGTATGTATGTTTATGTTCACATGAATTAATCAATGAGATCTATAGCATTCTAGAGCCTCAGGTTAGTGAAATAATTAGTAGTTGTAGGAACCAGAGGCTTCAATTCATATTTCATTCCCAGTTTCCCCTTCATTTGCTCATTCATTCATTTTTTTAAAATTTTGTTGTAGGGCTTGAACTCAGGGCCTGGGCGCTGTCCCTGAGCTCCTTTGCTCAAGGCTAGTGCTCTACCACTTTGAGCCACAGCTCCACTTCCAGTTTTGGAGTGGTTAATTGGAGATAAGAGTCTTACAGACTGTTCTATCCGGGCTGGCTTTGAACTGCGATCCTCAGAGCTCAGTCTCCTGAATAGCTAGGATTACAGGCGTGAGCGGCTGGCGCCCAGCTCATCCAGCTCACGGGATATACTGGGCAGAATTAAACCAGAGGGGAAAAACTTCCAAGGTGATGCAAAATTCTAGATGATTGGAGTGCTGGTCCCTTCAGTCCCCTGCTTCTCTGTGCTGCACTCTCATTGGAGTTTCAGCATGGAGCTCATCAAACGGCATGAAAATGAGTTCTTGTGGGTGGTTTCAGTGAAAGAAATTGAGGTATTCAAATCATCTGTGGGTTGCCACCTCCGTGCACCTGTGGGCCTCTAAGGCCAGACATAGGTAGGAACTGGCTCCTCCCAGTGAAAGCCTCCCTCTGGGATATCCTTGTCTTACTCCCTTCTTCCCTATCCTCTGTCCACAGTGCTGCCCTTGAGATGGAGTTGCTGCCCCTTTGGCTCTGCCTAGGTCTTTACTTCCTGACTGTGGAATGGAGGAACGGAAGCAGGACAGCCACAGCTGCTTCCCAAGGGAGCTGCAAGTTGGTGAGTTTCCCCTTGACCCTGACTTTTCTGTTGCTCCTGTCTTGGAAGGTTTTGTTCACTTGGAAAGGTAAGGGATTGTCAATCCAGGAGAGACTATTTTTGATGAAAGTAAAGACTATTTCCTATCCTATTCTAAAATCATAAGCTCTAGGGCTGAGGGCATAATCTCAGCAAAAGACCTTGTGCTCTGTGAGTGTGAAGTCCTGGGTTTAATCCCCAGCATCAAAAACACAATGATCATTAACAATAATGTACCTGGGCGCTGGTAGCTCCTAGCTACTCAGAAGGTGGAGAATGTGAGGATCATGTTCAAAGCCAACCAAGACAGAATAAATCCATGAGATTCTTATCCATGAGATTCTTCTTTACCTGCAAAAGACTGGAAGTAGAGGTATGACTCAAATAGTAGAGTGCCAGCCTGGTGAAATGACAACAACAAACCAACTGATAAGAGCTTAAGGCTCCAAATTCAAGCCTCATCAGTGACACACACACACACACACACACACACACACACACACACACACACACACATCTATAGAGCCATCCCAAGTGGTTGCTGAGACAGCCCAATACATGAACTCTGTTTCTCTGTATAGATCTCTGTCTCCATGGTCTCTTCCCCACTGACCCATGTGCTTTTGGATTTAGATAGATGGAGTTGCTGACTGCCAAGGGCAGAACCTTGTTTCAGTGCCCAGCAACCTCCCATCCCACACTAGTATGCTCATCCTGGATACCAACCCTCTGAAAACCCTGTGGAATTACTCTCTCCAGCCTTACCCCCTCCTGGAGAGCCTCAGCCTGCACAGCTGCCTCTTAGAGCGCATCGGCCGCCACGCCTTCCAGGAGCAAGGCCACCTGCGCAGCCTGGCCCTGGCTGACAACGCCCTGTGGGAGAACTACAAAGAGACAGCCGCTGCTCTGCATACCCTGCCTGGGCTGCAGAGGCTGGACTTGTCAGGAAACTCCTTGACGGAAGACATGGCAGCCCAGATGCTCCACAATCTCTCCTCGCTGCAGGTTATATCCCTGGCCAGGAACACCCTCATGAGGCTTGATGAGTCTGTCTTTGAGGGCCTGGAGTCTCTCCAGGAGCTGGATCTGCAGAGGAACTACATCTTTGAGATTGAAGGTGGTGCTTTTGATGGCTTGACCAAGCTGCAACGCCTCAACCTGGCTTACAACAACCTACCCTGCATCGTGGACTTCAGCCTTACCCAGCTGCGGTTCCTGAACGTCAGCTATAATATCCTGGAGTGGTTCTTGGCGGCCAGGGAAGAGGCGGCCTTCGAGCTGGAGCTGCTGGACCTGTCTCACAACCAGCTACTCTTCTTTCCTCTCCTGCCCCAGTGCAATAAGTTGCATACCCTGCTGCTTCGGGACAACAATATGGGCTTCTACAGGGACCTGTACAACACCTCGTCGCCACAGGAGATGGTGGCACAGTTCCTCCTTGTGGATGGAAATGTGACCAACATCACCACAGTGAGCCTGTGGGAAGAATTTGCCTCTGGTGAACTGTCAGCACTCCGTATCCTAGACATGAGCCAGAACCAGTTCCAGTACTTGCCAGATGGCTTCCTAAAGAAAGCACCTTCCCTCTCCCACCTAAACCTCAACCAGAATTGTCTGGTGAGGCTCCACATCCGGGAACATGAGCCCCCAGGAGCACTCACCGAGCTGGATCTGAGCCACAACCAGCTGTCAGAGCTACACCTGGCTCCAGGGCTCGTCGGCTGCCTGAGGAACCTTCGGGTATTCAATCTGAGCTCCAACCAGCTCCTCGGGGTCCCGACTGGCCTTTTTGCCAATGCCAGTGACATCACTACAATCGACATGAGCCACAACCAGATCTCACTGTGTCCCCAGCCAGCTGCCTTAGACTGGGTAGGCCCCACCAGCTGTGTGGATTTCAGGAATATGACATCTTTAAAGAGTCTCTCTCTGGAGGGCTGTGGGCTGAGGGCCTTACAAGACTGCCCTTTCCAGGGAACCTCTCTCACTCACTTAGATCTATCTAACAACTTAGGGGTTCTGAATGGAACTGTTGCCCCTCTCTGGGATATTGCCCCCACATTGCAGGTCCTGTCCCTCCGAAATGTGAGCCTTAGTTCTGGCTTGGCAGAGTTGGACTTCTCTGGGTTTGGAAATCTGAAACACTTGGATCTGTCAGGAAATTCCTTGGCCAGCTTTCCAAAGTTCAAGGGCAGCCTGGCTCTGCAGACTCTGGATCTCCGGAGAAACGCTCTCACCGCCTTTCCCCAGAGGGCTGTGTCTGAGCAGCTCCTGAGGAGTCTGCAGACTGTCTACCTCAGCCAGAATCCATATGACTGCTGTGGGATGGATGGGTGGGGGGCCCTGGAGCACTTAGAGGCCATCGCTGATTTGGCTATGGTCACTTGCAATCTCTCCTCCAAGGTTGTTCGCGTGATGGAGCTGCCCGGAGGGAGGCCCCAGATCTGTAAGTGGGAGCAGGTGGACATGGGCCTGCTCTACCTTGTGCTTCTTCTCCCCAGCTGTCTCACCCTTCTGGTGGCCTGCACCATCATCTTCCTCACTTTCAAGAAGCCTCTGCTTCAGCTAATCAAAAGCCGCTGTCACTGGTCCTCCATATACTGACCCACAACATGCCAGCTCAGATATTTCATCTGTGCATACAAGGATGCTTTCCCAGCTAGACTTGAAGATCTGCTGCAGGGGTCAAAGTTTGTTTTGTTTTGTGTGTGCCCATTTTGTTTTGTTTTGAGCCCAGGGCTTGGGTTCTATCCCTATTTTTTTTGGTCAAGGCTAGTGCTCTACCATTTGAGCCAGAGCTCTACTTCTAACTCTTTAAGAGTTCATCGAGGATAAGAGTCTCTCAGTCTTTCCTGCCTGGATTGGCTGGAATCCTGATCCTTGGATCTGTCAGTCTCCTGACTAGCTAGATTACAGTCATGAGCCACCAATTCTTGGCCCCTTTAGAGGTCAAGTTTGATGAGCTAAGGGTTAAATTAAAAATTCAAATATTTCCATCCTTTATTCTTCCTGAGCCATAACTTCCCATTCTCATTGTCTGGTTAAAATATTTATTAAATGACATTCTATGAAAATAAAAGATATGCCTTATAAATATTTTTAAATCAAAATCAAATGCATCTTGGGTTTATTCTTTTTTCTAGTGACATTCTCTCTCTCTCTCTCTCAAAGCCTTGTACTCTTACCTCTCAATTGGCTTTTTTTTTTGTTTGAGGCTAGCACTCAACCACTTGAGCCATACTTCCACTTCAGGCTTTTTGGTAGTTAATTGTAGCTTAGAGTTTCACAGACTTTACTGTCTGAGCTGGCTTTAAACCATGATTTCAGATCTCAGCCTCCTGAGTAGTTAGGATTGCAGGCGTGAACCATCACCACCTATACAGGAAGACTTTTGGAGCCTTTCAAGTTACACTAGGTAGCTCCCTGTCCTTCCTTCCTGTTCAGCCTGGCAGAGTTGCAGATTGAGACAAAGCCTTGCACCTACTGGTGGCTGTGACTTCAGAAGACTAAGGCTCTCCTTTCTGGTTTATTCCAGCACTGTTGTCCCAACCTAGTGACTTTCTAGGTTTCTTTCCATGTGGTGAGAAGGTTGGACCTAACAGATGAATATATCTCTCTCTTTCTCCCTCTCCCCCTGCCCCCCCATCTGTCTCTCTCTGTCTCTTTGCAGTTCTGAAGTTTGCAATCAGAGCCTTGCACTTGCTAGACAGGCAGTATACCACTTGAGCAATACTCCTAGCCCTTTTTGCTGCTGATATTTTTTTAAATAAGGTCTCAGTTTTTAACTAGGTCAGTCTGGACTATTGTCCTCCTTTTTACAATCTAGGATGACATGTACATACTACCACACCAGCTTTTTCTTGGTTAAGGTGGGGGCTTATAAACTGATTATCCATTGTGGGGTGCCTTTTCCTGACTACTCCTTTGTAAATCATCCCGTTAGGCCTTGTGGAGGTGTCTTCGTTTGAATGTGTTCCTATTAGACCTCTGAGTGTTGCAGTCAGTAACCCTGAGTCAGAGAAATCCCAGAACTTGCATTAGGAAGTCACAGAGTGCTAAAAAAAAAAAAAAAAAAAAGTAGTCAGAGCAAAGAGGCCAACTCCTGAAGACTGTCTCTCTCACTGATTATGAGTAGACAAGAAGGAGGAGGCGCTCATAGATACAAAACTCATCATAGTACAACTATTTTCAGATTTTATTCAAATAAGAACAGAAGAAGTTTCCAGCCCAGAAGAAATCCAAATGAGTGTGAAGACCTCCAAAAGGGTGTAGATGTAGTGGTGACCCAGTGAACAGAGGAAGCCTGGGGAAGAAAGTATTAAAAAATACTGAGGTGGGAAGGTGGCTCAGTGGTAGAGTGCTTTACTTACATGCATGAGGCCCTGGGTTCGATTCCCCAGCACCACATAAGAAAAAAGGAAAAAATCCGGAAGTGGCGCTGAGGTAGAGCACTAGCCTTGAGCTGAAGAGCTGAGGGACAGCACCCAGGCCCAGAGTTCAGGCCCCATATAGATAATCCTTGTTACCTTCCCCTTCCCTCAACCTCATCAGCTACCAAAGACTTATTTTTGTGCTAAGTGCTTTTTTGTAAGCACACTTTATTTTGGCCAGTCTGGGGTTTGAACTCAGAGCCTCCCAGTGTCCAGGCTGGCACACTACCTCTTGAGCCACCGCCTCAACCCTTGCTAAGTGCTTTCTATGAATAATTTCATTTACTCTTGGGGAAATTTGCTGAAGGTCCTGGCCAACTGTGGTCCAGATGTTATCATTAAACTGAAGAAAACAAAGCAGCTTTCGAAACCTTCATCTTTATCTGGTCTATCAGCCCTTAGGTGGTTAGTGGTAGCTGAAGCACATTTGCTGATTAAATGGCCAAGGTGGAGAAGGTTCCTGTGGGGCCTGAGTGAGGAAGCCCAGTGTAGTCAAAGGTCATCTGCTGCACCCGACTATACAGAAGGCAGCATTGTGGTACAGGGATGGCTTGAAGGTAATTTGTCATTTAGGAATCTCATAATTCCTTCACCCTTAACAGACAACATCTTGCAGAACAATCAGGCAGGTAGCAGTTTTCACTCTGATGTTTAAAGTTCCTTGTGTTTGGGGGACCAATGAGGGAAGCCATCTTGCTGTGATAATCACCTGGTCCATCCTGGTCAGTCAGATGTAGAACTCAACTTGGGTAAAAGTAGTTTCTTGGGAAACAAAGATTCCATTAAATATCAATACCCATGACTTAGAGATTTACAAGTTGTTAAGACATTGACTCATTCATTCTAGGACCTCTGGCAAAGAACAGTTCTTATCATTACCAAGAAGGGTAGATGAGGGTGAGCTAAAAGCCAAGAAAACTGAAGGGAAATATGTAATGCATGTGTCCTGACACTCCAGATGCAATCTTCCTCAAGTGACACTTCTAAAGGCTTTTTACAAAGTGTCTTTTTTCTTTTTGTCCGTCATGGAATTTGAACTCTGGGCCTGAGCGCTCTCTGCCAGCTCTTCAGCTCAAGGCTAGCACTCTACCACTTGAGCCACAGCGCCACTTCTGGTTTTCTGGTGGTTTACTGGAGATAAGAGTTTCATGGCTTTTCCTGCCTGGGCTGCCTTTGAGCCATGATCCTCAGATCTCAGCCTCCTGAGTAGCTAGGATTACAGGTGTGAGCCACCAGTGCTCAGCCAAACTGTCTTGCTTAATACTTGTTCCCAAGTTTCTAGTGTCTCCTACTCATTCTAAAGTAGCCACGCCTCCAGCCCTTTGGAATGTTGCTTATATTTCAGATAGGGCCTTGTATCCTTCCCAGCTCATGTCCAAACCACAATATACCTATTTTAGGCTTCCTGTTATATCTGGGCTGATAGGTGCCACCAGGCCCAACTTTTTCTTTTGAGATGCAAACTTTTCTGTCTTGACTGATCTAGACTTGTGATCCACAAAAACTAGCTTCTAAACTATAGTTATATTTAAAACCCTTGCTGGGCACTGGTGATTCACACTTATAATCCAAGCTACTCAAGAGGCTAAGATCTAAGGATCATGGTTCAAAGCCAGCCCGGCTAGGAAAGTCTGTGAGACTTTTTTCCCCCTAGTCCTCGCGCTTGAACTCAGGGCCCGGGCACTGTCCCTGAGCTTCTTTTCTTCAAGGCTAGCACACTACCATTTGAGCCACAGTGCCACTTCTGGCTTTTTCTGTTTATGTGGTACTGAGGAATCAAACCCAGTGCTTCATGCATACAAGATAAGCACTCTACCACTAAGCCACATTCTCAGCCTGAGACTCTTATCTCTAATAAACTACTTAGAAAAAAACTAGAAGTGTTGCTGTGGCTTAAGAGGTAGAGCATTAGCCTTGAGAAAAAGAATTTCAAGGACAGCACCCAGATCCTGGGTCCAAAAACCTTTATTTTTAGCCAGGTACTGGTGGTTCATGCCTGTAATCCTAGCTACTCAGGAGGCTGAGGTCTGAGGATCACGTTCAAAGCCAGCTTGGGCAGGAAAGTCCATGAGACTCTTATCTCCAATTAACCACCAGAATGCTGGAAGTGACATGTGGCTCTAGTGGTAGAGTGCTCACTTTGAGCTGAAGAACTCAGGGACAGTACCCAGGCTCAGAGTTAAAAGCCCCATGACCAACCAAAACAAACAAACCTTACTTTCAGATGCATTGTATTTGTAATCAATAATCCTTTCCTATGCTGATGTGAAGGATACTCAGTTTCTAACGCAGAGCACGTCTGTTTTACAAAGAAGACCATGCAGAATAATTCTGACCTTGAAATAAAGCTGGATTTCAGTGTTGACCCTTAGTAACTTTATATAACAGTATCTCCCAGTTTTCTGGGGCTGAGCAAAGCCTTTTGTATAATCTCAACATTGAAGGAGAGATGGTATTGAAAGATCATTTCACAAAGACTTCCAAAGACATTGTCAAAGAAAAGAGAAGGGCGTGGGAAAGCACAAGGTAAAGCAGTGGAGGTAATAAAGCCAGCTTGAGCACTGGTGTGGTCCCCCTGGCTCAGAGAAGTGGAGAATGAGCTGGGATCTGAGGGGAGGTGGACAGGGTCTTGTTTTCTGGAGGGTGGGTGTGTTTCTCTCTTTTCCGGTTACTGTTTTCATGTGGTGAGCCCATCCCTTCAGCTGAAGGCCCTAGAGAGGAAGCATAGCACTTCCTGTTATCTTACAGTGCTGCAAGATGCAAGCTAGCAGAAAAAAAGGGAAAGAGAGGGGAAGATGGGAAGATCTTTTGAGGTGAGGTCAGGATTTCCCACCACCAAGGGGAAACCCAGCTCATCTTTTCCTGGAGATGCGGAAGAAGAGGCAGTCCCAGATGTCAGTTTCTTCTAAGACCAACCAGAAGCCAGAAAAGAATCTCTGTATAAAAAAGGGGGGGGCTGGGAAGGTGGCTCAGTGGTAGAGCACTTGCCTTGCATGCCTGAGGCCCTGGGTTCGATTCCTCAGCACCACATAAGCATAAAGAAAAAAAGCTAGAAGTGGTGCTGTGGCTCAAGTGGTAGAGTGCTAGCCTTGAGCTGAAGAACTGAGGGACAGCGCCCAGGCCCAGAGTTCAGGCCCCACAACTGGACCCTCCCAAAAATAATTAAAAAAAAAAAAAAGGATACTTGCCGAGTGCTGGTGGCTCACGCTTGTAATCCTAGCTACAAAGGAGGCTGAGATCTGCAGTTCAAAGCCAGCTTGGGCAGGAAAGTCTGTGAGACCTATCTCCAGTAAACCACCAGAAAACCAGAAGTGGTGCTGTAGCTCA